CAGTTCAAACCCACGAGCCGCTCCTCGGAAACTACACAGGGTTGGAACCAACTCAACAGCATTTAACAACACCCCAATAAAATCCATACTCTCATACTATTCAGCAACCCAGGAAATGAGGCCAGCCACAGAAACCTTACTGTTGTTGTTGTTAAACACCATCGAGTCGATTCTGACCCATAGCGACCCTGTGTAGGGTTTCCAAGGAGCAGCTGGTGAGCTTGAACCACGGACCTTGCAGTTCAAACGACTTTGCAGCCTGATGCATTTGCCCATAGCGCCACACCAGGACTCCAGAAACCTTACTAGTTAGGACCAAAAATGTCCTAGAACCTGACAGAGGGCAGGCACAAAGCTGCTACTCAGTAAATGCTTTGGGAATGAATGGAATAGAATGGCATTTAAAGAGAGAAAGGGAAGAAGTGTAACAAAGTGGGCAGGAAGACAGAGAAGTCTGGCTTGAGTAGAAATTAGTTCTGTACACAGAACTAAAATCTTCAAATAAAGCAAAGACAGGTGAGGGGAGCCCGATTTGGGGCCAAGTCACATAAGATTCAGACTCCTTGGGTATCCTTACTGTCGTCCTTTCTCCTACTGCCCCTGCTTAGCTCCTAAACCCACCCCAGGCAACAGTGGTTTCCAACTGTCACCTGGAATCGCTCCACAGTCTTCCTCTTTCTCCCCTGAATCTTCACAGCCCCAACAACTTTACCTTCATAAGGTTCAAGACGTTGTCATTTTAAAGCAAGGCAGACCTTCACTTCCTTACCCAATGCTCTGCAATGTCTATCTTCTCGCCTTCCTTTCTTTCCACACTGATTTCTGCTCCTAACTCTCCACTGACAAGCCCCTAAAGAATTAAATCCAGTCCTGCACAATGCTCTTCTGACTTGTCCACCGCACGTCATCACTTAAAAGACTCTCTTCTTAGCTTCCTGGACTCCTTACCTTCCTCTTGTTTCCCATCTCTCTGCCTAAACCTTAAGTGGAAGTACTAGTTTCCAGAACTCTCTCCCTGGTCCTATTTGTACTCAACATCCTAACTGCTTCCCACACTGGTCTTCTCCACAAAGCTGTATCTCCAGCCAAGATACCCTTGTGGCTGGCAGGTCTGTGGAGCCGTCCCTCCACTGGGACCACCCACCTGAGGCTCTCAGAGGACTTCAAATCTCCTATCCCCACACCAGCTCCCCACTGGTCTCCCTCCAGCTCAGTGAACCACAAGACCATCTACCCAGGTGCCCTAGGGCAGAAATCTTGGATAGCCCTTGGCAGTTTCTGTACCCCAGCCCATTCCCCCCTCCCCATTAATTCTTCTCATCCTGTTGACACTGCCTTTGCCCCAAAACTCACTGCCTTCAACCAATTCCACCTCTTTATTGATCCTACAGGACAGGGTTGGAAAGGTTCCTAGGGTTTCTGAGGCTATGAATCTTTACAGAAACCCACTTCCTTATCTTTCTCCCATGGAGCGGCTGGTGGATTTGAACTGCGATACTTCCTACTGTACCTCCAAGGCTACGTGCCTCTGCCCAAACCCTTAGTCCCACCTCCTCTTCAGAAGGAATGACAGAAGCACTTTGCATAAAAAGCCCTAAAGAAGGAAGGGAAGAGATGATGGAGATTAAGTGGTACATCCCTGAAATCCCTCCCTGCCGCCACGTTTGGCATTCCCAACTCCCATGCACTGATGGATCACTCATCTGTCGCAGTGATCTTTCTTTGACATGATCTCACATATCTGGTCCTGCTTTCAACACTGGTGTATCCCTGTGGTTCCTCCATTCCTTAGTAGGATGTCTGACTCCTCACAGCCTATACCTCCACACAAGGCTCATAATGCCATGCCTTTCTTTGCCCACACTGCTGCTCCCTTTGCCTGAAGAGTGCTTCCTGCCCTTCTTCACCTCGATAACATTTAACCAGCTGCCAAGGAGTAGACTCCAACTCACTACGATCCCCATGTGTGTCAAAGTAGAGCTATCCTCCATGAAGTAGCGCTCCATGGCTTTCTCCCGAGGTATCTCTGGGCAGACTCGATCTTCCAACCTTTCGACTGGAAGTATATATACCAAATATACCACACAGTCCAGTGCGTGGACCCTTTGCATCTGTGTTGCTGTTAAGAGCCGCTGAGTCAATTCTGACCCATTGGGACTCTGTAGAGGGTTTCCAAGGAGCAACAGATAAGCTTGCAGTTTAAACCACCAACCTTGCAGTTTAAACCGACTTTGCAGCATCTGTGTTGCTGTTATGAGCCGCTGAGTCAATTCTGACCCATTGGGACTCTGTAGAGGGTTTCCAAGGAGCAACAGATAAGCTTGCAGTTTAAACCACCAACCTTGCAGTTTAAACCGACTTTGCAGTCTAACGCATTAACCCACAGCGCCACACCAGGACTCCTAAATTACATCTACCCCCTCATAATTTACTTTATGTCAAAGTGACTCAGATTATAGATCAACATTTTTTACTTTCCTCCTTAAAAAAAAAAATTCTTTAGACTGGCCAGACTTGAATTGTACGGTGATCATTGTTGGTGATCATTGTTGTTGTTAAGTACCGTGGAGTCAGTTCCGACTCACAGTGACCCTGCACAGAGTTTCTGAGGCTGCAAATCTTTACAGGAGCAGAAAGCCTCACCTTTCTCCCACAGAACACCTGGTAGTTTCGAACTGCCGACCTTGAGATTAGCAGCCCGATTCATAACTACTATGCTACCAGAGCTCCTTACAGTGATCATTACAAGGTCTCAGTCTCAAAATCTATGCTTCTAATTTGTAAAGTGGTGTTTCCTTTTATTTTATATACCCATGATTCTCTTACTAGAGAAACTGAAATGGAAAAATCCCCCAACCTAACGACTTTTCACCACTCCCTTAGGTCTTACACCCATGGAAGTCTCCCACAGGAAACTCATCTTCTTCATCAGTATATTCTTTTCTAATTTTTGATTGTGAATTGAATGAAGGCTTACGTTCGATAAATCACACGCACTTTGTTTCATCTCAATAATTGCAATCCCCTCCATGTAACATCACTTATCCCACATCCCACTTCCTCCCTGTGTTTCTTGTTTGCATTCCTTCCCAACTCTTTAAAATTTATCCTTAGGTAAATGCTGCCCTTTTGATCTCAAATGCTTGACATTCTATGGTGTGCATATCTCACCAGTCCCTCCTCCACCTCCACTCCCCATATATCTATCTATTGTTTGGCTGAAGATGGAGCCAAGTGGGTGTTCATAGGTGTTTTCCTCATGCTCCTCCCTGTGTACATTTCCCCCCAGGTGGCTCTACACCTGTTCAAGGGGACCCACAATCCAGGGAGGAAACAAGTCCCAGAAAGAGGCAGCAACTTGCTGGAGGCCACACAGCAATTTTGTGGGAGTGACAGTCTGAGCCCTGGGGAACTAGAACCCAGATCTAGGAATTCCCATGCCAAGCTGCAATTCCCTGGCCTGTGATCCTCTGTCCCAAACCCCACACATAATTAGAAGTTATAATCCTATAATTCCATGATGACATCTTTGAACTTAAATATACCTTAAAACCACTTTCCTTTTTTAAAAAATACTAAATGCCATATGACAAAAAAAAGTTTTCCCCCACCTGTTTTCATATTCCCCCCACCTGTTTCCCCACCCCTGCCCACTCTCTGTGGTCACAACTCCTGAGCAGAAAGCAAAAGCCCAAAGGCAAGTCACAGGGGAAGAGGAAGATGCCAAGACCATTTACCAGCTGGGTAGTTCGTTAGGTTCTGAACAATTAAGAATTGATTGTTCTGTGGGAAACAGTTTCACTTCCCTATTCATAATTACACACTCTGCCTTTGGTCCTATCGGTTATAAAAAAAATACATCTGTTATATTAAAAAAAAAACCAACAACTCTCAATCCACCCAGCTATTCTTGGCCAACCGCCAAAAGATATTTTTAGACTCGCCCGGGACCTGAAAGAAGCAAGGTGTGGGAGGTGTCGACCTGCCGCTCAAGCTCACCACACAAGCGTAGCGAGAAGAAGGCAGAGGAAGGAAGGCAAAGGGGCGCCAGAAGAGGCCAGCAGGAGAATCATTGCTCCCCACTCCCACCCCCGCCCCCGTAAAAATTTAAGAGATTACCCCTTGGGCGCTCACAAAAGTATCTTTGTAGCCTGGCCCAGACACCTGTAAGCATTAGCATTCCACCGCACCCGCCCCGCGGGGCTAGGGTCACTAGGAACTGGGTTGACCGAATGTCAACTGCAGAGAGGGGCGCGGCAGTTCGTACAGAGGAACACCTGGACATGCCAAGCGCCGAGGAGCCCGCACAGGAGGACAAACCAATCAAATTCGCTTTAGCAACAAGTGAAAAGAGATGAAACTGTGGCACTCCCGTACCAGGTGCTCAAGCCCTCCAGGACGACTGGGGGCGAGGGGAGGGGGAACGCCCGAACTCCCCTCCCACCAGCAGTTCTTCCTCCCCCACTTCCCCCAAAGTAGAGAGAACTCTGGAAGCATTTTGGAGGGAAAAAGAGAACTCCGACCCGTCTACGGTGGTCCTTACTCCATCCGAACGCCCCTGCCAAGAGCTCTGGTGGAAATTAAACTCGGGTCCCAACATCGCAGCGAGGACGAGGGTGCGAAAGCGCTGGGAACCGGTCCCTCCCCCGGCCGCGCGAGATCAAGGGCCGAGGAGACCCTGAGCATAGCCCTCTCCGGCCCACTATTCTCCGCCAGCACCTGTACGGTGTGGCCCCTTGCGTCCGCCAGTCCCCGACTGCACCTGGGCTGCCCAGTGTGCCCCCAACCTATCCGCTGCGGACAACTTCCGTCCGCACCTGCTCAGGGAGACCCAGCACGCCGCCGCCCACCCTACCCAGCGACCCCGACCCTCCGCCACGTCGGCAACAGGCCAGTGCGTCCCTCTCCCCCTTCCGGGCCTGAGCAACACGCCGCGCGCTGCTGCATCACCCTCTTCATCCTTGGGGGACGGAGGTCTGGAGCCCGCAGAAATCACCCACCTTCCGAAAGTAGCCGTCAGTCTCCTTCTCCAGCGGCTGGGGAGCTGCGGGCAGCAGTGCGTCGGTCATGCTGGCGGCGCGGGCACGGAGAGAGAACTGAAGCTCCGCTGCAGCCTACAGCCCCAGAGGGCGCCCGGGCCCGCCCCCGTCCCACCCACTTCCCTCCAGGGCGGCCCCAGGCCAAGCCCCCGGATCCCTGGGGCCCCACCCCGCCACGTCCCCGCCCCCGGCCTACCCAAGTTCCAGGATTGGCCGGGGCGGAGTCGGCGTCTTGCAACTTCTCCGCCGAGAGTTAGGGTACCTGCGCGGGTTGCTCGCCGGTTCCGAGCCTCAAGGTCCTGCTTTGGGTATTCTAGACGCCTCCTCCAGCGCTCCCTGTGAGTGCCGCGAAGACTCAGGGAACGGGACGAAACCTTGGGGTGCGGAACGTAGGACCCACACTCTTCGCCTGGAGCAGGGGTAGCGGGTGAAGTCGTGGCGCCACCCGGGAGGATTGTGGACAATACGGGGATAGTAACCAGGCCAGAGGCCACGTCGAGGGCACCACAAGAGCGCTGGACCCTGAACCTGGCAGTCAAGAAAAGTTCCCCACAGGAGGGAAAACCGAGGCCGAGGCCCGGACGCCGAAGAAGATCTTCCTGTTCACAACTGCAGAAGATTGTGGGCCGCGTAGGGGTCCACCTCTCCAAACCTCAGTTATTCCAACTGCAGAATAGGTCCAATCGCACTCATTAACCAAGTCTTTGTTAAAGCTCCTAACTGGGGGTGGGGGGTGGGGACTGACTTAGCGTTAGAGCATAAAAGAGACCTCTTGGTACTGGTCTCGTTCCTATCGTGTGCGCACCCCTAGCTTACCCGAAGACTCCTAAGGCCGAAGCTGAGCAGCGCCTGGGCTCTGATGAACCCCCCACCCCGGCCGCTGGTGTTGTATTTGCTGCTCCCCCACCCACTCTCCCAACCAAAGGAAAGCTTTGCGCCATTGCTGCAGGCCCTCGCTGTTTGTAGGTGCCTCAGGTAAAAATAGAACATAATCTTTCAACCCAAACCAAGCATTTCTTTCTCTTAAAAAGAAAGGGGCGGGGGTGGGGTGGTGGTGGTGGTAGAGAAATGGGGCATTGGGAATTGTTGGAGACGTAAAATAACACGTAGTGTCAACAACGAAGAAAATGTAAAAAAACAAAACAAAAAACTCCTCATACTGCCAACGCAAGCCCTAAGCACATCAGTAGTAGAGCTTACAGGTACTACACAAGAAACGACATTTTTCTAACTCTAGAAAAGAACTTCTGGCCTCAAGAGACTCAACACTGCATCAGGTGTTTGGGAAATTCTCTAGCTCATGCCAAAACTTTCCTTCACTCTTAGGGTCAGAAATGAATTCTAAGCTAATTTCAGCAAACGTTGATCCCCCTATACTTAATAGACCTGGGAACATAGCAGCTAGCTGGGAGTTACAAACAACTAGGGGAGTTTGTAACAAACCAGTCAGTTATACTTGTAATGATCACAATAAGTTGTCATTAATTGAACTCGGACTAGGAAGTTATCGATATTATGTTTATTTTTCACAATTGCTTCTGCAAATAATGAGCAGCTGCTGATGTCACGTAGATTCTCACTGACAGCGATGTCATAGAACAGAATAGAACTGCACATAGGGTTTGTTGTTGTGATTGAGTGCCACTGAATTGGTTCCGACCCATAGACCCTGTATAGGGTTTCTGAAGAGCGACTGGTGGGTTAGCAGTCTGATGCTTGTCCTATAGCCAGCTATAGGGTTTACAGAGTTATAAATCGTCATGCAAGAAGACTGCCATATCTTTCTCCCTTGGAGCATCCTGGTAGGTTCCAACACTGTGACTGTTAGGTTAACCACCATGCCATCAGGTCATCTTTTCTGTAAATATGACATGATCCCCAATGACAGGTGAGAAAATCAAGGTTCAGAGGAGTTAAGTGGTTAAGGATGCACTTGATGCTAGTGATTGAGCTGGATTTTAGCTCAGACTTGCTTATTTCTCTTACATCTTCAGGTTTTCCCGATCGCCTTCTACCACCTTTAAAAAAAAACCTTTTTTTTTTTAGCAATTCTTACTTTGTTTTAAAGAATTAATCTATCAGCAAATTGAACACTTTAAGCAAAATTCATTACTTATATACTGATGTTTTAGTCTAATTCTTTAGATTTATTCAAATACTAAGAAGTAATTATATTGAGTACTGAAAACCAGTCTTCTATGCATTTCTCTGAGAAATTTATAGTAAGCAAGTGTTATGATGAATTTAGAGATAACATGTATTTGCTATCCCTTCTGAGTTAATTAGATAGAATATTGAAAGTGAAAAGTGTACTGTGGTAAGAGATAGAGGGGAAGAGAAAGAAAAGTTTGAGGTAGAGAGAGATAAAAATTGATGGAAGAAATACTGAAGAAAAGCAAAGTATAATTCAGAGCATAGGTAAATTATAAGCATAGTATTTCCTAAATTACTCTGTGTCTACTTTTAAAGTCATCAAGTATACAAATAAGTATTATGACCATAATTATGTACTGATAAGTTCAGTATAATGTGTGAGTGTTTTTCTTTATGTATTAAACCTCTAGCAGTAAATAACTTGGTGTTGTTTCTTTAAATACATTTTTCTAAGGAATATAAATAGATTTCTTTTGAAAACTTCAGTGTTAACATTGTTGTGGTTTGATTTTTATGCGTAGATCAGAATTGAAAAATTAAAAAGTCATCAAATAATCACATATTCTTCTACAGGAAACTTAATAGTTCAATTTAATCTGCATATGTCCTATTCTATAGGGATTCCTGACTCTTCAGAACTTGGTTATCAAATTAATTGTCTCTCTTTATGAGAGTGCGACAAGGTTGTGTTCTTTCACCATACTTATTCAACCTGTCTGCTGAGCAAATAATACGAGAAGCTGGGTTCTATGAAGAAAAACGTGGCGTCAGGATTGGAGGAAGACTCATTAACAACCTGTGATATGCCGATGATACAACCTTAATTGCTGAAAGTGAAGGGGACTTGAAACATTTACTTATGAAGATGAAAGAGCACAGCCTTCGATATGGATTGCATCTCAATGTCAAGAAAACAAAAATCCTCACCACTGGACCAATAAACAACATTCTTATCAATGGAGAAAAGATTGAAGTTGTCAAGGACTTCATTCTTGGATCAACTATCAACACTCACGGAAGCAGCAGTCAAGAGATCAGACGACGTATTGCACTGGGCAAATCTGCTGCACAGGAACTTTTTAAAGTATTGAAGAGCAGAGATGTCAGCTTGAGGACTAAGGTGCGCCTGACCCAAGCCATGGTATTTTCAATAACCTCGTATGGATGTGAAAGCTGGACAGTGAGTAAGGAAGATCGTAGAAGAATTGATGCCTTTGAGTTGTGGTGTTGGAGGAGAATATTGAAAGTGCCATGGACAGCCAAAAGAACCAATAGATCTGTTTTGGAAGAAGTGCAGCCAGAATGCTCTTTGGAGGCCAAGATGGCTAAACTTCGTCTCTCATACTTTGGCCATGTTGTCAGGAGGGAACAGTCGCTAGAGAAGGATGTCATGCTGGGTAAGATGGAGGGTCAGAGAAAAAGAGGAAGACCCCCAACGAGATGGATTGGCCAGGTGGCATCATTGATGGACTCAAGTGTGGCAGCGGTAGTGAGGTTGGCCCAGGATTGGACATTGTTTCGTTCTGCTGTGCATGGGATCGCTATGAGTTGGTTCCAGCTCGATGGCACCTGACAAAAACGACATGAGAGTAGTTTGACTTTGGAACTCCTGGTATGGAAGAACTGAAGTGTGACTTCAGGCTGTTGTTGTGATTGTTTAGTGCTGTCGAGTCTGTTCCAACTCATAGCAACTCTGTACAGGGTTTCCAAGGAGCAGCTGGTAAATTTGAACCACCGACCTTGTGGTTCAAATCAACCTTGCGGTCTAGTGCTTTATCCTACAGCACCACACCAGGACTCCTTCATGTACATGGTTGAAGAGTATTTGTTCCCATAATTTGCTTCAGATTGAGCTCTTCCCTGGGAGCCATCCCACTTACAGAAATGATGGTAGTAGTGTGCTGTGGAGTCGATTCTGACTTATAGTGACCCTACATAGGGTTTCCGAGGCTGTAAATGTTTATGGAAGCAGAATGCCTCATCTTTCTCCTGCAGAACAGTTAGTCATTTCGAACTGTTGACCTTGAGATTAGCAGCCCGTCTCTTAACCACTTTGCTACCAGAGCTCACATGTACCAATTGTCCTCTTTGGGCTGATGTGTCATATGTATTCTAGAGAACTGTGGCGGTGGAGATACAGGACTTCTACAGAGGATCGTCTGAGTGGATGATCTCCAGGGATTCTTTTCTATAGCAGCCCAACGCTTCACCCATTGGTCCACCAGGGCTCCTTCATAGAAGTAACTACTTTGAAGAAAAACCAAGCCAAGCCCTCTGCCACTGACTGAGTCAGTTCCAACTCATACACTATATAGACTTTGCTCGTTTGATTGACTGACTGCTGCTACCATGAGTGTTGATGGTGGATCCAAGCAAAATGAAGTTTTGACAACTTCAAACTTTTCTCTAGTTAGTTATTGGTTCACTTGTGAGGATTTTTGTTTTCTTTACCTTAAGGAGCTCTGGCAGCGTAGTGGTTACGAATCGGGCTGCGAACCGCAGGTCGAAACTACCAGCTGTTCGCGGGAGAAAGAGGAGGCATTCTGCTCCCGTGAACATTTACAGCCTCAGAAACCTTGTACAGGGTCGCTATGAGTCAGAACCGACTCCATGACACACAGCCAGCCAGCCAAGGTGCAATATATACCACATACTGTGTAGTCTTTGATTGTGATCATGATCAGTAAGTAAGACGGGGCTTCAAAAAGTTTGTGGAAAAATTGAATGAAAAGATAATGGAATTCTTCCACAAGCTTCTTAAAGCCCCCACATATAAGAGTGAATATAATGAAAATTCTTAGAAGAAAAAGCAGAGGTAATGCTGTCAGGCGTAGCTTTCAACAATGGATTATCTAATATAATAACAAAAGCTGAAG